CAGGGAAGGCAGATAAAGGCAGGAGAAGATCTGAGCCTCATCTAATGCCTGTAAATGTGTTGTTGTGTTCAGGCTATTTCAAAGCAATAATTCATTTCCATTACAACCAATACAGATATCGATAAATAGCATTTCAGCCTGACCGTATGGCTTCCCGCCAACATCCTATAATTTGCTGTAGCCAATTAGCAGCCAATTTGGCAGCTGATTCATCCCAAAAACATCCCAGACAAAAGTTCATCCGAAAGCTCTGGACATGCAGCACAAACCAAGGGAGGAGAACTTGATTTCCACATCTGGGCCGAACACTCATCCCATACCTGGTCCTTCATATAAATATTAAACTGGCCAGAAGTAGCATCTCTCCCAATTGTTACACTGAATGTAGCAAAGCTTCGTCCCACCGCATAGGACCGCCTCTGAATCATGTGCTTGTGTGATGTATTGCACGCCAGTGGCAAACACATGTTTAACTGATAACGAGCCTTTAATTGATTTAATTTACAACAGAGCATTTAGTTGATAACAGTCCTTCTGAGATTGTGAAACCACAGAAAATCTTTTTTTCCCCTGTTCAGTGCCGGATCAGCATACGGCCATCCCTGGTCACAGAGCCGGTCTTCCTCATAGACGACACAGGCAGAACTCCCCCGTTATTAAACTGTATTTTAATAAACCATCACTGAGGGCCATCGGAGACAAAGTGCATAAGCAGAACGTTAAAGCAACCCTGCAAATTTCCAAACGATTCTTCCGAACGTTTCCTGTCTAGTTGGGACCTTTACATCTACTTAGAAAACAGCGATCTGTCATTCTTCCGAAATTCTTTCAGTCCAAATGTAATTAGAACAAACTCTTGGTTTTATCCATACATGGATGCATAATACAGACACCAATTGCTTCTGGACAATGATTCAGGCGGTTTATCACCGATACATTTGGTCTGAATGCATATTCTGGTAGCCCCAACATTCGAAAAGTCCCTAAATGTATTTAAGATACACATCATAAGGGGCAAAATATATTTCCATAATAAATTGAACCTCTGCCTATAGCACTTGAAACCTGTCCTGTGTGTTTGTTGCCTTTAGTGTAACAGTACAGGCACATGGAGCGAAACCTCACAGTTAGTTTGGAAATTAAATCTGATTTCATATTTAAGACCAATTAATAAGAGTACAAAATGCATCTCCAATTTGAAAAAAAAAAAAAAACAGACTGGATTTAATAAGATCCTGCAGGCTTGCATACTGTCATTGTTACAATGTGTGATAATATATCTGTTATCCATCAATTGAAATTCAGGGCATTCTTCCGTTCTTTTGTAGGGATGTGCGTTTGGAGTGTTTGCATGTTACTATGATTCCAAACAATACAGACAGTATCTCAATAAATACCTGTAACAGCACAATCCATGACAATTGTAAGACTTTTGGATGGAGGATTTTTAAGAATGAATATGGCATCCCCCATTATTTATGGATATGATCTGCTGTTTGGGCACAGCTAGACATGTGTTTCCCATTATGGAATTCCAGAACAAGAATCCAGAGCAAAGCAGAAATGGTCCACCTGATTTCATAGACGATCTGAATGGAAAAGTATCAAACAAACCATCTGGCAAAGTCAGCAAAACACCCCAAATGACGGCATTTATCGCACATATTATTGGACGAATGCAAAATAGATTAAACTGCTGGACTATGCCTCAGAAACATCAATTAAGTAATTGTAGCAGGATATGGAGAATCTAGGGTCTATAAGTCAATCTTCCAGAAAAAAAAAGAATGACTTGATCATTACAAGGCACAAGAATAGACAGGTTTTAGTGTTAATTCTGTTTAACAAAGAAACGCAGTCCTAACGTCGGTAGCGTTATGATTTTCCGTTCCTATTGTATGCTATTACAGAAAAACGCGTATAACATGAGCATATCGCACATTTTACCCACGCGGCGTCCTGAACTTGACGCCTAAGACATATTCTTTCTCCCCCTGAATTACATATTTTACCTATTTAACCACTTTCTCTGGTAAACCACGTAAATACAGTCTGAATTAAAAATGTTCTAAGACGGGCTTATGGATAATTTTGTGTATTTTACGGAAATCGGTTGTAAAAAAGGAACACTTCTTACAGTACGTGAATTTAATTTTATACAGCCATAAAATATAAATGGAAAATTCCGTCCACTACCAAATTCATAAGAAAGGCGACAGGCGATAAGAAACGCCAGTTTATGATGTAAGGTAATGATGTTTTTGGGCTTTGGGATTTTTCCACAATTTTCTAAATAAATGTTATATATGTGTGTGTTTATATATATATAACTCCACTCATATTCAGTCAAGTGTTTTATTTTTTAAATAATACCCAGAAACCCTTTAAAACTCCATTATGGTAGTGTGTAGATGCGCAGGAAAATACGTGCATATAAAATAAGACTCAAATCGAAACAAATAAATATTTCATGACTTTCTTGAGAGATGGAGAACTTCGTTTGGCTTTGTTTATAGAAGGTGGTTGTTTATTTGTTTAGAAAGTGGTTGAGAGAAATTAGTCTTTGACCTTTGTAAACAATGAAATAAATTACAATTAAATGTTTTAATTGCATTTATTTAAAGCAAATTATTACCTTCGTAATAATGAATGGTGCAAACGAGCACCTTCACTGGTCATGCATATTATTACTGAGGATTGGCAAAATGATTAACACAGAGCAATGTGCAGCTGAAGTCGGCCATCTTTACTCACAGTATAGCTAATCTTATGAACATTATGTTGAAAATGCACTGTTGAAAGTGTCTTACTCTTGAATTTAGAAATATAATCACAACATCTGGAGAAGGTGTCTGTATGATTACATTTGAGTATATGCAAATTAATTTTAAAATATTAATATAATTTGTATTAATATAATTAATAGTAAAATGTAATTATTTATTACTACTATTTCAGTAGTAAGATCGTTTTACTATAACAGCTGAGTTTCAAAACAATGTATAATGTGAAAAACAAAAAGACACAAAGACATTGTGTTTGTGTTTATTATTTTTATTATTTTATTTTCCAAAGATATAGGCCTACTATATAACTGAAAACTGTAAATGGTTCACTGGAATAGCTGCCTTTAAAATAAGATACTCTATGCAATAACGCTAATCAGTTAATATAGTATAATATTGTATCATCTCGACTTTGAAGTTGTTATTTAGTTTGGAATCAATTTGCAATTTACAGTTCTAGGATCAGTATTGCTAAGAAAATGTGTGAATATGTGAACTATTACCCATTTATATCATTTCACCATTTAACATGCTGTCAAAAGCTAGCTTTTTCCAAGAGATCAAAGACGTAAAAAGATAGATTTTACCTAAACCTTTAGACACACTGAGCCCCACATGCTCAACAACTATTACTAAGAGACACATTAAAATGCAAATCTCAGACTCATCTCCTAGCAGTCTCTGTTCTGCAAACAAAAGAAGACCCTGTAGTTTAAACTTAAACAAACGTCTTGGCCCTTTCTGTCCCGAATGGCCAGGTGTGTTTTCAGCACACTTTAGACACACTCGCACTTTACGGGAAGCTGTGACACTGTGCCATCACCCACAGAACCCAGAGCAGTTTGCATCCAGTGTCACGGGAGCGGCACTCCGGGCTTGGACTGGAACGCCAACATTCTAGCTGTATGAAACCCCCCTTAAAAACAGCTACCGAGAATTTCTGTTGGTACCACAACCGGCAACAGTTAACCTCCCTTTTCCGCGATCATCGTTCAGCTTTGGCGCTGCAGATTCGGCTTTCACGCATGTAAACATACCAGCTGCCAGAAAAAGCGGTAACTTTAAGAAAAAAGAATGAACGAGAGCTTTGTCCCACCTTAAGTCTTTTTCATTGTTTGTCAGTCTCCTAGGGAGGGTGTTTCTTATTTGGTTCTTCATACTGACCATTTCACAAGCCCAGGACGTAAACGCAAGGCGAACACATGCTACTGCTCAACATCTTCAACGCTGCCTTCTCTGACCTTCTCAACATGCATTTTATTCCAGTTTATAAGGTACAGTGTCCTTCCTGGGAGATGTAAAAGCAGCTGGGGTTTCATCATTCTCCCTGAGCATCCTTTCCACGTGCCGCTGGCTGAGAAGCGTTAAAATCATGTTCTTCTACTATTTGTGTCTGTGTTTTTCACCGATATCTGGACATTTGGACATTTGGAACACCCTGAGCAGTGACAGGTGCATTAAACCCCATCTTTAATCACAACCTATGAGTCCTCTTGGCCCCAGCATTTTGTTATAATAAGCAGGATTACACAAATGAACTGATTGGATAAAAAAGAAACAACACAAAACTGAAAAAAGACAGAAAAGAGAATGAAATCTGTGCAATTAAGCTTAAGATGCCTCCTTAGCAGATTCTTAAAACAAACAAAATTGTACAACTCCAGAAATGTTCACCGTGTTGGTTATATTACATAAATACCTTAGGTGTAGACAAGAGTGATTTATATTAGCGATTTTACAAAATGTTCATAAATAGATTTGCAACTGAAAGCTAAACATAAAGTAGCCAGTTCCTCTGGAGCTTTTCGTACTTTTTCACTAATTTATTATATGTCACGACCAAAACACAGTCCATTCCGCAAAACCCGACACTTCATGCCCTCCCAAGTCACATCCCAACGAGTATGAGAAGGCCAAGCCACCGCTTTTTTGGCGACGGTGATACCCGTTGGATGTGGCCACATCTCTATCCCCGTTATCTGGTGACAATGTCACTGTGACAGGCGGTGACAAGCAGGAAGTTTTTCTCCCACGTCGGGGCGCTTGCGCACAACGAGGGACTTGCACGCCCCGTAGAACAGTATTACGATGCTCTACAAGGGGGCGTAAAAACACGTACCTCATGGCACCTCGTTAATAGAGACAGCGCACCTCCTGTTCCGCCCGCTCCTGCATGCAAACGGCACTGCACATGTTGTAAGCATCGCCCCTTACCTCGCTGGTCGTGAGAGGGCTTGTTCGCCGTTGTTTTTTGCTGTGCAGCTCAGTCAGGAAGGGTCTCTTTAACCCAGCAAGCGGCGCTCGTTCATTCTACTGAAGGAAAATAAAAAGTAGCGTATGGTCTCTTCTCGTCCCTTTACCTATCATGCACCGTCGCCCATCTGCACTGTCTACTCCATTGCAGCGGCTGATCGTCCACCGAGTGTGCCGGAGTTGGAGACCCCACCGCGACTGCTCCTTATCCCGTGGCCCGAACAGCCTCGATACTTAAATGCGGGCGACTGGCTCGCGAGGTACACCGCGCGGCTACTTTATTCGCCATCTGCTCCTCCCCTTTCACGGCCGGCTTTGTGCAGGGCCCTAGGGCTCCCCCCTTCGGCCTCACCGATGAACTGCATCTTGCATCCTTTCTTTAAAATTTATTTTACATGATTGTTTTTTTTTGGAGTGGGGGGTGGGGGTCGCCTCGCCTTGTACCTTTTAAACTACAGGGGACCGTAGCTTTGGAGGCTGTACTAAGTGAAATTGAGACATAAAGAAATGTTCCATGCTTCCTAATCTGAGCATCAGTGAATGCTCTCCAATTTTTTAATTTTAGTTTTTATTGGTATACTTCAGCTCGTACCATGCTTCTGCTTAAATAATTATTATCCGAACATCATAATCAACGGGAAAATCTTACCAGTGCTATTAAACGAAATAAATCTAACTATGCTGATATATCCCTGTAACATATATTTTACTTAACAGTTTTCAGAAATAATTTATTACATTAATTTTAATACTCAGAGATTTGTATGATCCACCCAGTACTCAGTTTCATGTCCCCCTTTTTAGCTTCACGTGATTCATACATGAATCGTGGATTTCACGTGACCTACACTGTAACCAGTGCAATATCACAATAATATAAAAATCAACCTCAATAACATGCATTAACACCAATCATTGCATTAAGTATATATTTATATTATATATAAACTAATTAGAAAGTTCTCACCTAGCATATTTTTTGAAAGCCTTAACTTCGGAATCGATGCTAAGATCTAGTTTTTTTGAGTTGGTCACCGAATCGACAACGACACTCAGTGAGATCCGATAGACAGGCAAGGCACTGATCCTGGGCCAGTTAAGAGCTTAACCCCCAGTGGATGAAATATCCTTATCTGCTCCCCCTGACCATCCCTGGCTTCAGCTGTGTTTCTGGGAGGGCGTAGGAACGGTGACGCTTGTTGAAAGATAAATTTATCACAAAATACATCACTATAGAAAAGCTGATACTTTGGAAGGACAATTTTCCAAAACCTCATCAGGTCTTTCATTATTATTACATTATTACACATTTATATTTTCATATATTCACCATACACGCATAACTATATTTTTGTGTATTTATCCACAAAAAAATCAAATATTGCATAGGCACCATTAAATATGCTTGTTTGTTGGTGTAATTTGAAGTATGCATATAACAGTTGCAGCGTATAATTGCCCCCAATCCACTCTGGAGACTTTAATAACACTCTTGCTTCGGGGCTGGAGGCCCTAAGACATACGTAAATATCACAGGGCAGAGTTTAATCAAAGCTCCGCACGCTACCTTCTACACCTGACCTCCACTCAGCAGGGATTTTGCTTGTAAGCTCCTGTTTTGTCTTTGTTTGAGACACCCAGCTATCCTGGAGACCATGTATACTGTGCCTACGAGAAGAGCTCGATAAAGATTGCATCTTTTCCTTAAACGGTTTCTGGAACATTCTTGTCGGGAGAAGCAGATCCAGCAAGTTTATGTAAGTATGCAGATAAGCATATGCTAATGAAGCAAATGACTGTTTTTCTTCTTTTTTTCCCCATTATAAAGCGCTCACAGATGATATAGAGGCGACACCCAGTTTTGCCACAGGGATCTTTGGCTTTGCACACAGACAGGAAAACACAGGTATCAGAGGGAAAAAATGGATGCATAAGTGAACAGACAAAGATAAATAACAATGAAAGATTTCCTGCTCTGCTGCTGTGGAAGGAGAAAAAAACACACCCACTTCACGCCTGATGAGTGCGTTTAAAGAGAAAAGGGAAGCAAGTCCAAAAAAGGCATCCACTGTCACAATCACAGATGGCAGGAAAGAATCAGATGTGAGGCAGACAGCAGGCAGGAACAATGGAGAATGAGGGGAATCCAAACAGAACAGCCATGGGAGCGGATCCCAGGGCCGCAGGCGTCTCGGGCTCAACCTGACGGGGGCTTTTCCACAATTATTATACAGCACACACTCTTACAAATTCACTTTTTTACATTTTTATTTAACTTCAGCCCAGATCTAACATTTATAATCAGAGTCATTTGTGGATAAATTGTGATACAATAGCCAGGTTTAGTGTTAGTGACAGGAAACCACATCTCATAGCTTGTGGAGTCGCAGAGGTTAATTAGAGAACTGACTCAAAGATTCCCACAGCCGCTGAGCAACGTAAAACATTTTATTTAACGGCAACAGTTATCAGACATCTCTTTTGGTTCCTAAGGGTGTTTTCTATAAAATTTCAGTATTTTTTTTTCCATCTTACAGCCACATAGGCCTAAGAAAACTGTGTGCTGTACAATACTTTGTTTTATATAGTAAATATCTGCAGAATAAACTCTGACAAGTCAGTCACCTAAATGAATACAGATACAGTACAAATCAAGCTAGTAGTTTTTTTGTTTAATTGATTCATTTTACCTTTAGAAATGTCGGCAAACTGTCAGCTGCGTTTCACATTGAAGGTGCATAGGAGGGAGGCAGCAGCAGCCCGCCGGCGGCCTCAAGCAGCGGCGCTGTGCTCGCGATGCGGCCGCTGGTGAACAGATGGCGCTTGTTTTCGCAAACACGGCTCAGGTTAAATCCTCCTCCCCGCCGCAACGCGGCCATACGCTGCTGTTTAACTTTTCTGACATAAACATGAATTTAGGGATATGTGAAGAGGATGACAAACACGCCACTTGCGAGGCAATTACAAAGTGCAAAAAAAGGACAAATAGCAAAGCAGAAAAAACGTTATGTAGCCTACTCGCAGTTGCCTTAGAAATGCATTTTTGTGCATACATTGTACACACGTCTTTTAATGCAGTTCGGATTTCACTCAAAGGTCTGTGCCTGTATGTCCATTACAAGGATACAATAATTATTTTTACTATAGGCCTATGAAGTGCACACATAAAGAGCTGTAAAGTTAATATCGTGTGATATGCAAGACGCTGCCTTTGTTCCCCATCGCCTTATCTCCGCATGTTTTTAAAGGCTGACTGACCTGGCTTTGCAGGCCAGATCCTACTCCTAGGCTGCTGGTGTCAGTTTGAATCCCGCTCCAAAAAAACTGAAAGGTTCTGCAAGATTGACGTGTAAGCAGCAGCCATCACAGGTAATTAATTCAACATCGTCATCATTTCTTTGTTTGGCAGAAATAACTAAAAGATTAAATTAATGCATAAAAAAACAACAGACGATGTGATTTGTAAACAGCCTTTTCTATTTGGCAGGCCGCAGTTTATGTGTTTGTTTCCTTGAAGAATATTAACATTACACCCAGTTTACAGTAGGACGGTGGTTTGCAGTAGTTGGTCGGCCTATGTTAAGAAAGTCCCTTTTTCCAGGTTAAAAATGATACTGACCCATATCTTCCTGGGTCATTAGTCGCTAGTCAGCTGATGGTGAGCAAGAGCGCCGTGGACATCCTGTACCATCCCGCAGCTGGCAGACCCAGGCCGCGTGATTTACGACCGTCCGGTGCATCTGCGGCTTTTCCCAGCGCCGCTCCGACATCAACACGGCTATTAAGTTGTCAGCTTCCCCACTGCTCCTTATCCTAATCGGGAGGCAATCATTGCCTTAATACGCTGTGCTCGGCTAGATGAGTTAACTTAGACAGCGGTGACCATTTTTATTAAGCATCGGGATCTAGCTAGGGACCGTTCATTTTGCATTGCGAAAAATAACCATTCAGGGCTGAATATTTCAGCCACCCGAAATATCTGTGGCAAAGATACTCTGAAGCGGTTTCGAAGTCGGCAGAAAACAATGACACTTTCCCGTCGGTAGTCGTCACTAAAGCCGGGAAGGTATCTTAAGTGAAATCTAGTGGTTTAAAAGTGAATTAAATGCTCTTAAACGGCTTAAATCAACACCCATATGTAAATAAAGGTCCTCGGTGAATGACTGCGTATAAAATTATACAATATTTAACTAGAGATTTGTATACAAAGTTTATTATTCGTCATCATTTATATAGATTGCTTTTAATGTTCTACTAATATATACACTTCATCCTTTCATGCAACATCATCTGCAATTAGAAGACATTGTACTCTAAACTATGTTCGTTCTAGCAATCAGCCGGCAGGGCTAAACAAGGATAATTGGGCATTGACAAAAGTGAAGAAAATGAAAAGATGTTGTAACATCTTCCAACCAGTTTACTTTGGCAGCTTGAAGTCCTGATTACACTGTTTACCGACTACGTAATTTCTGAATCCTTAACAAAACGGACATGCAGCGAGGCATATAATTAACAGACATCGTGAATCATTTTGGTGAGCGTCTCTGTGCCTGTGTACGCGCGTGGGCCTATCTGTATATAATTTTATTCTGAAATGTGATCATAATTTTATTTTTGTAATTTTTAACCATTGAAAAATGTGTTAGATCTACAATGATATTTGCAGATTTGTGTGTGTGTGTGTGTATATATATTTTGGCTTAATGTCGTATATATTAATTTCTGTTTTGTATTTTTTTCAAATGTATAATATTTAACTGAATTTACAAATAACGAAAACATAAAGCGTTGGGTATGTCAGAGTAGTTTCATAATGCATAACTTTGAATGAATGTATCTGTATATTTTTATGAAAATTCATATGGGGCAATTATTACAACAGAAAATGTACGCAGGAACACAGTATCCGTGTATATGTATGTATGCATATACGGTGCACTGTATAACACAAATACACATTTGTTGTTCTCTCACTTCCAGTAGGTGGCAGCATTATGTCGCAAACAGCATCGATTTTGCTTTTGTATATGGTTATGAAGCGTAGCGCAGTCTCCGTTTGCCGCACCAACAAGAGCTTTTGGTTCAACCGTTGTCTTGTATATAAAATTCGTACATGAAAGGAGGACAGGCTTCCAAGTTAATTATGAATGACGAGTTAAAAAACTGGAATTTAACTTCTCTTAAAACATCTTCTACTAACGAGGAGTTGTGGTTAAACACATTTGAAACATTTCTAGCGGCACCTCAGCCACATGACAAATACAGCAAGCATTTCATGGCTTCGAGGTAATCAGATTCCCTCTCCACCTGCATGAAACGCCTCAAGACCCATCTGTAGCAGGAACACCCCCACTGGCCTTCACCCCATATTCCCTGAATACTCTTAGTGTTGCGGTTTCTGCTGATTTGAATAGCAGTATTATTAGGTTCTTCCTTTGTTTGGAAGATGTACTTTGATGTTGTCCCCCACAAACCGCTCTTGCTTAATCTCAAAGCTGCAGGGATTTTAGGAACTGTAGCAGCTTGGACCGAAAACTGGTTAACAGACAGGAAGCAGCGAGTAGTTATTAGAGGCACAATGTCGCAGTGGGCCTGCGTTCGTAGTGAGGTACCGCAGGGTTCAATTTTAGGACCATTATTGTTCCTAATTCACATTAATGATATTGACACCAATACATATAGTAAACTGGTTAAATTTGCAGACGACACCAAGGTGGGTGGTGTAGCAGATACTGAACTAGCAGCACAGAGGCTACAACGGGATCTTGATTTAATTAACAGCTGGGCTGATACCTGGCAGATGAAATTTAATGTAGATAAATGTAAGGTAATCCATGCAGGGAGCAGAAATATAAAGTACAGATATTTTATGGGTTCCACTGAAATAAAGGTAGCTGATTATGAGAAAGACCTCGGTGTGTATGTTGATGCTTCCATGTCCCACTCTCACCAGTGTGGGGAAGCAATTAAAAAGGCCAATAGGATGTTGGTTTACATCTCAAGGTGTGTGGAGTTTAAGTCAAGGGAGGTGTTGCTACAATTATACAATTCCTTGGTAAAACCCAGCTAGAATATTGTGTGCAGGTTTGGTCACCATACCTTAAAAAGGACATTGCTGCCTTGGAAAGGGTTCAACGTAGGACTACAAGAATTATTCCTGGCCTTAGAGGAATGTCTTATGATGAGAGGTTAGCTGAGCTGAATCTGTTCAGCCTCAAGCAAAGGAGACTAAGGGGGGATATGATCCAGGTATATAAGATTCTAACAGGTCTGGATGCTGTTCAGCCAAATGGCTACTTTAATATTAGCTTAAATACTGGAACTTGTGGCCATAGGTGGAAATTAGTGGGAGAACATTTTAAAACATTTAAATTTGAGAAAACACTTCTTTACACAGTGTGTAGTCAGAGTATGGAATAGTCTTCCTGCTAGTGTAGCGCAAGCTAAAACCCTGGGTTCCTTTAAATCAGAGCTAGATGAGATTTTAACAACTCTGAGCTATTAGTTAAGTTCTCCCCAAACGAGCTTGATGGGCCGTTTGTAAATTTCTTATGTTTTTACTGTGACCCCTTCTCTAATTCTGTAACGCTAGTACCTGGGCATTCAGCTCAGCCCAGCTGCACTTAAGCCTATTAGACTCCTTGACAGCCATATGTTTGTAAGGTGCTGTTCGCATTACTTATACATTGCATTTGACAAAACTGTCTGCTCAATAAAATAAATGTAAATGTAATCATTGTGGCATAATCATAAATCCTTGGTTCAGTCAGCAAAGTCATGTGACTCTCCTTCCTGAGATGCATGGCGCCCCGCTCTGAAACCCAATTATTTAGTATTAATCAAAGTCTAATGAAATTGTGGAAGATCCCTACAGGTCTGCCGCTGCTTCTATGTTAAACAATTGGACATTTCTGGAAAAGACAGGGAAATTAACAAAACTAGACACTCAATAAAAGAAAAGAAAAACTAAACAGTGAGCCATAAACATAAAGCCTCCACACAGTCACCAAAAACACCCAAAGCGCCTGCCCCACACACATGCAGCCCCCCGCTGAAACACAAGTAGGAAGGATAAAGCAAAATCTAACAAAATTGCAGAAAAAACATACACGTAAGCCGCGAATCAGAGAGAAAACAACGGGACAGCAAGCAAAAACAGTCGTAGATAAGGGAAAGGAGACAGCCGGCGACAAAACACAAAGACAAAAATGCAAGCAAAGTACAAAGGGACCCCACAAAGTCACCAAAAAAAAAAACACACGCCAATCCCCACAACTGAAGATGCCAATCGCACGACAGGCAAGAAGAATATTGCCTCAAAATAAAACAGAGAAGAAAGAAAAATTTCCGAAGCGTAAAATAAGAAAAAGGAGGAAATTTGAGCAAAAACCCCCAAGCTCATTAAAGCCACAGCAAAATGCCAGCCACAAAAGCAGAAGATAAAAAGAAAATGAAAACACAAATGCAAAAGGTAAAGAAGTTGAAAAAAAAATCACACAACAACAGACAAAACTAAGTAAGTAAACAGAACAAAAAGAAAGGAGAACGGTCCTAACAAATCAAACACAAATCAAACAAAAAACAACAGAATAGAATAGATCAAGAAGGTTCAAACAGCAAAGCAAACACGCAAGCCCAAAATAACCACATCCAAACAGAATGCACTGAGGTAGCAGACAGGAAGAACACACAAAAATGACACCAAAAAATCAATAAACTGCAAGAAACAGATATAAAAGTCAGAACAAACAACGGTAAAAACCAAAAGAAAAACAAAAGGGACACCTCCTAACTACCGCCACCAAAAGCAAACAAAATACAAGAAAATAAAAAAATTCAGCAACGAGAAAACAACAAAAGTCACAAAGAAGGCGGAACTAAGCGAATTCAAAAATAACACAATTAGGGGTCACACACGAAGCGACCACAAAACCTCAAACAAACAATCAATCAACAGTAACAAACCGATAAAGGAGAAACCAGGAAAAACCCAAAACACGCAATGGCAAGAACTAAGAAAAACTGCCTGAAAGAGACACCACAAACAAAAAAGGCAACGCAAACACAAAACACTCAACAGCAAAAAAAAAACCGCAGTAGAAAAGAAGGGAGAACAAAGCCATCTCGAAAGACACACGACAGCAACCCCCAAACCAGGCGAGGACCCAAAAGCAAACAGCAACGCATAGAAGATACACACCCCACGAAAGAAAAAACCAGGAAACAAACAGTCAGTGCAAATGCCAGAGCTAAGAAAAAATACATCAAAGAAAAAGGTCAGAGAACAATGCCCAGGCCAATAGGCAGGAAGCAACGGAACAAAAAAAAGCTAAGCAAAAAAGCAGTAAGCAAAAACCAAGCTCTGAACACACAAAACATCAACCCCTGAAGAAATGTCCCAGGCAAAAGGGAAACCAAACGGAAAAAAACCAAAAAACCTACAACTGAAAAAGCGCGGCAAATAAAAAATAACCCAAAACCCAACAGTAACAAAAAATAAATCACAACACAATGAAATAGGAATATTCGAATATCTATCAGCCCGAACAACACCAAAATCAGAACAGTAGGACAGAACAGAGTAGGTGAACAACAAGCTGAACCCAGCAAAAAGCACCAGATATGGCCAAAGGGCCACACTGAGAGGTAAAAAACACGGAAGAAAACCAAGACACATAAAATGAAGTCAGCGCGGCCCAAGAAAAAGTACCCAAGACCGCAGAGGAGCGCAGTGCAAAATCCTATACAATTAAATACAAAGACCTCAATAACCATCACCCAGAACAAAAACTAAAACAACAAACACCAAAACAACAGAAAGGGAATCATATACACTAAATGCAGAATGAAACATTATACATGGAATGAACCCCACACAGACCGTTAAAAAGCAACAAAGCCAGCAACAACAGACAAAATGATGCCATGGCTGCGGAAGAGGAAGTCCGTAAGCCCTGAGCCGACATCAGGACTCCACAGTGTACACCCAGAAACAGACGCAGCACAAACCGACACCCAAAAGAAATAGGCAAACCAGAAACACCACAAAGACCACAAGGGAAGCACACACATTAAAACCATAATAAAACAGCAAACGCCCAAGGAACACGACATAGACGATAAATTCGCAACACAACACGGAAAAGACGAACCCACCCTAACATGACCATCCAGTCGGCAAGTCGCTCTACATCCCCAGGAAGGCCAAAAACGCAAAATGAAACCAGAAACGTAAGAAGCACAACCGAAAATGGCAAATTACGAAGCACCCCCGAGACAAAGAAAAGGACAGAAGGAAGGACCACCCAAAAAGACCGAAGGACAGCACAAAAGGCCACAGGAACAGGAAAGAACTCATAACATGCCAGCAAAAAAACAGAAATAAGAAAACCCCCTAAACCTAAAAACCTAATAGGAACCTAATCAACAACCACAAGAACACCAAAAAGCAGAAAAAAAATGCAACGTTTAAAAGAAAAAACAAAAAACCACCAAAAACCCACCCCCCCCTAGACAAAAATAAGGAGATATAGAAATAATACACAAAAAATAACAACAACAACAAAAAAGAACACACACACAGACAGGGAGCCATACGAAAACAATTAACATAAACCAAGAATCAAAAACCAAAAACAACAATATCTAATATGTCCCCAACTATAAACAAACAAAACATGCAAAAGCAGATAAAGACAAAAAGATGAACATTAAAAGACAAAAAACAAACACAACCAACCCCCCCCAATGATGCTACAAAAGGGGTCCACAAATAAAAAAGCGAAAATAACAAAAACAAAGATAAACAACACACACACTAAAAAGGAGCGCAAAGCAAACAAGAACCAAGAGCAACCAGGAACGAAGCAAACCAAAAATTCTGACGTTAATGCACAACGCTAACAACAGGAAACAAGTCAAATACCACAAAGCAAAAGCAAGCAACACAAAAGCCACAAAAAGAAACACCGTAAAGGTATACCAAGGAGCCCACAAAAGGCAATCAAAAGACAACAGGCCCCAACCACACAGAAAAAAAAACACAGAACACCAACAAAACAACAGCGCAAAACAACAAGGACAGAAGAGCACCAACAAACGGCTACAGTCAAAATCTCCAACAAAAATACAGAAGGCTAACAGCAGCAGACCAGAAAAATACACCACACAAAAACAACACAACACAAAAACCAACACAGAAGAGTCAATATCATCAAACCAAAAAGCCAAGATAAGAAAATCAAAACACAACATTGCCCCACCCCCCAGAAAATAAAAAAAAGACACCCACCACCCCGACAAAATTATACCAAAGCCTCACACAACTTCAACCATACAGAGAAAGCCAAACGCGAAAAGAAAAAAACTGCAGTGGCGCCCAGGCAGATGGGAAAAGAGCACCATGCAAAAAAAGCACAAAAGATAGACCCAAACCGAAGACCCAATAACAACAACCAAAAAACCCAATCCACTAAGCCACAAGCTGCAGTTAAACTGAGGTCAGACAGGTTTAAATATTTATGCAATCTATTAATGTATCTGAACAGTGACAGTGGTGTCACATACAAGTTATACTATATAACACTGAACAAATTATTAACCCTAAATAGATAATCCATGAAGTAGCAGATTTTGTGGTAGAAGGCCACACCAATCCGCTCAGCAAGGTGTTTCTGGGGATGTGAAAAGGACTCGCCAAATATGGAGTTCAAGGTTTATTTAAGGAGTAAATTTAGACAAGACATCGAACCAGATACATGACAAAATCGACGGCAGAGGCAATGAGAACTCATCATGCACATAATTCAGGAACCCCTCCTGGGAAAAAAAGGAAAAAGGCTCCTTAGACATTAGCACCAAATCAGCACCAACTTAAGAGTAAAAAAAAAAATTACAATTTAAAACAGAAATAATACAGGAAGTGGAAAAGACTGATGGACAGACAGACTGAGCGTCCAACCAGCTTGTGGGAGTCTTGCTTACACAAAAATGTTCTGAAGGCAGAAGGAAAAATTATTGGTTCACAGATACCAATCAGATTGTAGAGCAGGTGGGGCCATGTCGTCTGACTGGTTGGTCCCACTTCCTCTAGTTGCTTGAACCTACCTTATCTACAATCTGATTGGTCAAGAGAGAGAACCAATCATTTTTCCTATTGCCATCAGAACATTTTTGTGCAAGTCAAACTTCTACAAACGACCAACACACACTCAGCCTCTAGCTGGCTATAGCATCCGTAGGGCATATGCCACAATCTATAAAACACATATTCAAGTAAAGTTTAGCACGAAATATCCAATTCTATGCATCCAGAACACAGGCGTCGCACAGCCTGTTCAGGCTTAGTAAACTACATACTGGAAACTAGTCATAGTAGCATCTTCTACAACTACGATTTCTGGGCAAAAGGAATTAAAACGACGTGGAAAGTCATCACAAAGCAGTGGTGATGCAAACACTGGCGCGAGTCAAATTGATTATTCTAAACGTAAGACAGGTCTTGCTGTTAGACCTGCCCCGTGTCCATGTACGTAACAGATATATATATATATATATATATTAAACAAAGTGACTCTCTGAAAACAAAACACTGCAATTTATTAAATAAAGCACTTAAATGGTAAAATTGGGGGAGGTTTGGTGCCAATAAACTAGGAGTTAGGCATGTGTGTTTCCTGTGTTAGCTACCGAGTGAACACGGGATACATTTACACATGTAGACCTTTACAAATAGTGCACAATAACCTGATCTGGAAGCGGATTTTAAATAAACTGGAACAGAGGAGGGGCGTAGAACAGCCTTGCTATTAGCTTAACCGAACAAATAAGAGGTGCCTAATTTTCTTTGGGGGGGAGGAGGATTAAATAAAAGGGGTAAAAAGTTAAATATATTATTTAGGATACTAACAAAAAGCTGTTTGTTCTCATCCATATTGTTCCATGTCCAAGTGTATAAAAGATGGGGTCGCATAACAATCAAAAATTACAGCAGTTGGGGGGGGGGATTGATTTTGGAGTAGCTCACTGAATTGCAATTGTGTCCTTCGACCGGAAACGGATTCTTTAACGGGTCATTGACCAAACCCGAAAGCACCACTTCTGAGCATCTGCTACACTGTGAGGGCATTTCACACATACGGGGGCTTCTGGGGGGTATAGAGACTGGCTGACACTGCTGGAACCTGACAGCAGACCAGTCTATGTCTGGGTTTGGGACACTTGTTTTTTTGTTCCATTTTTTGCACATTTTAAGAGCAGATCCCATCTCTGGCTGCTCAGATAAAGAATTTGTCCAAATCCTCCTCCATATTGACATCGGGGACGACCTGATCCGACGTCTCCTTGTCTTGCTTGCCTTGTCCCAAGACCGTGGAACGGATGCTGGAGGAGAACCAAGGGTGGTCGAGGATTTCCCTGGACGTGAGCCTCTCAGCAGGCTCCCTGCGCAGGATGCTCCGAATCAGGCACCTGGCTTTAGGCGTGAGGCTTTCCGGAATGCTGAACTGCCCACGGCGGATCTTGCTGAAGAGTGAGCTGGGCTCCACGTCGTGGAAGGGGTAGCGGCCCACCAAGATGGTGTAGAGCATGACTCCCAAACTCCACACATCAGCCGCCTTGCCGGAGTAGCTGCCCGTGGTGTTGAGGATCTCCGGGCTGACGTAGGCCGGGCAGCCGTGCTTATCTGACAGCGAGTCATCCTCCCCCTGCAGGATGTAGGCGTCCTCCAGGCTCTCCAGTTTGATGAGACTCCTGCAAGGCAAGAACATACAGTTACCCATGGGCAAACGTCCGAGTCGCAAGCCGTCGTGCTGTAGCCTGGGTGACACCGAAATTGCTCCCCACACGAGACGCCAAAAGCTGGATAAGACCACAGACACCCTCGGTGGTCTTCAGCCACCTTCACACTTCCAACCTGGAGTTGTGGTGGGTGAGGAAGCAGGCCTGTGAGGTGGTCTCACTGCAGAGCAAAATGCAGATAACGAGCGTCTTCTCTCCAAATGAAGGGATGGAAAATATTATTCATACTTTCGTGACTAACTGAAAAAAATAAAATGGAACCTACTTTCTGTGGAACCATATTCTAAATGTGAAAGCTTTATTTAATTTATTGTTCTTTTAAGGTGCATCTTAGTCAGTTCTGTCCCAAATACAACTTTCAGAAAATTAAACTTTGTAAAAGAGATCAATTAAATACTTTAACATATTAATAATTAATATATCAATAATCTCCAGAAATTATATCAAGTTTTGAATAAATAGTTCCAATACTTCCCCGGTCATCTGGCATGTCCTGCCACTCCATGTTCTGTGAATGTTCTTGATGTTACAGTACCTGCTATCTGAATATTCATCTTATTAGCTTCCTGCTTTGTTTGGTAGATGCTGTGTAGCTCTTGCTCCTGCACTGCTTACACTGTTACCTGGGCATTCATTGGAAGCTCAGCCTAGCTGCACTTCTGCCGAGTCCCTGACAGCCGTATGTTTGTAATGCGCCATTTGCCTCACTTGTACGCAGAGGAAATGTACATTTACATACAAAGGATTCTGCTAAATAAAAGTAAAATGTATATTTCCTCTGACCAATAGTAAGGACCCAGTGCTTCAAATGAAAGGGATCAGCTCAAACCTCCCAAAGTAGCACTTCTATAATATTTCGATTTTGTCACTGACAAGCTGCATGAATGAGCAAAAACGTGACACCCAGAGGCCTGAAATGAAAGCTAAACCAGCGACCCGACACACCAGTACGGCACGCATCCGGGGTCCATTACCTGTCCTCACTCGGGAAGATGAATTTCCTCAGCTTCAGGTCTCGGAGCACGAGTCCGTTGTCATGGCAATGGGCGACGGCCGAGGCTATCTGATAGAAGAGTCTGGAAGCCTCGGCCTCCTGCAACCTTCGGCAGGTGCGGACGAAGGAGTGCATGTCCCCATGGCTCTTCCTGAAGAACACGTAGGCCCGGGAGTCGCCCAGGAGGATCTCCACTATCTGGTTGATGTTCTCGTGTGCGGACAAGCAGAAGTAGGCCGCTAGCGACTCCTGATAGCGCGTGATATCAAACACCTGGAAGCAAAGAGCAGACCTTCTTGAGGCTGGGCCATTCCCAAAATATACATACTTTGCAAGATAAGCAAAATGATCTACAACAATATTTCACTGGGTGGATTTGAATATGCAGATGTACCTCGTCGGTGTATTTGCATAAACATAAATGACACTTTATTTAATGTATAAGCATTATAATGTTCTCACTATGACACACTGCCCAGCTAAACCTAATGACTACAACAAATAAAACAATCTACAGATGTCAAACTGAGTAAAAAGGCTAATACATTTAACACTTTATAATCACGATTAATTTCTTTTTATATAAAAAGTTGCCTTTCTAAATGATCAAACTACAGTAGCGCATTGCATTTTCGTCTTAAGTTGCGTGACTATGAAGGGCAGCGGCAATTAATTACCTGACGCACGATATTTTTACAGTAATTAAGTTCGCCAGAACAAATATTATAGTAATTAAAACTGTAGCTGTCCGGGGTGCTGAACATGATTTGTTTTTTTAGTTAAGTGATTGATTAAATTGTTATTCTCTAGCGGCGTTTATAACCGTTAACATTAACATAACCTACAGGCCTACGCAAATACAAAACGCGGTTATTTTTCCATTGACAGGTAATTACAGTTAACAGATAATTTGATTTAATGGTCCATTTGGTAGTTTAATCATATTTAAAGCTCTTCAATATCGTTGTCCTGAATGAGTCCATCGCAAATAATTGCAAGAAGTGCAATTAAAATAATTCATTTAAAAGTCACCTATCACTCCCATTATTAATCCATTTGAATTCTGTCGGACTAAAAACAATATTTAGATTGCTTGCAAAACCAATTACAACTACACCTATATTACGGCAAACATTTGACTTGAAAAATCTAATTTCCTTCAGTAATACTTTAGCTATTACTCTGCCAAAACTAACGTAAAGATACGCGATGAGTACTTGAATAATTGCTTTATCTACACTAGAGCGTTTCCGTAATTATGGCTTACATAATGCCATTGGAATTGTATTCTTGATCCGCCTTTTGTGGCGCGGGTCCATGTGTCGCCCATATCGTTTGTATCCTCTTTCTATTATCCGTTTTACCTTCTTTTCTTTTAAAGCGCTACATCAAAGACACACCATTAAGAAAAAAAAAAATATATATGTAACTGGAATATTAAATTTAATATACTTTCAATTTTAAATATTTTGAAACGCAAGACAAAAAACTGATCGTAACTGTATACGATTAAGCAAAGCAAAATGCGTAATATTAAAATTTTACCGTCTCCGGATATGTGTCTCGGACATCAGAGAGGCCTGGTGAATATGATCAAGCCGCTGCGTCCCGGTACACAGTCACACAATGAACTTGACTTGTAACAATGCAGACAAGTTGTACAAACGATTTTACTCACTCAGAAACGCGTCATAGATACGGCGTTTATATATGTATATAAAAAAAACTCGGAGAAAGTCGGTTTTGCCAGTAAGCGGCACTAGATTTAACATTTGAATAAAACTAAATAAGGATCCATAAGCAGCACATGGTTTCATATCTAATCACGAGATTCATGCTCTTAGTGACTTCATTAGAGTATTTGCACATACCCCAAAAGCTTTACGTACCCTACATTTGGATGTCCCACTTTTTGTGTTCATGTTTTCGCATATATTTGTTTTTAATATACATTTTCTACCTATATTTTACTTTTTAATAATCTATTTTTGTCCTGGTTTTATGTTTAGATATATGATTTAATTGTATATGCCAGACCACCACCTGCATCAAAACAAGTTCCTTGTACTTTTGTGTACTTGGCAAAAATCAATCCTCAAATAACTTTGTGAGACGGACAGTAACGCATGGGTGCGCATTTTTCATGGGGGGGGGGGGACGCAGTGTTTAGGGGCCGCACTCGGTTACATTGTGACGGAGAACAAAGACGCCCCGCGAGGGCTACAGATGCGGCGGGGACACGTGGCCGGCGCCATCCGCACGCGCACAGCCGCCGCTTCCCGCAGGATTTACGCTCCCGAAACATGACGTGTGACTTTACAGCGTCCCTTTCAGGGAAAAAAAAAACAGCCAACTCCATTCATAAGATTCCGGCGTGCATCCAGCAGAGCTGCGTTCGGAGTTAAATGGGCGTAATTCATCACTGAAAAACTTAAATGTGAATGCTATCCGTCCGAAAACACTGACGGGCGACACTGCATGCGTTTACCAGTAATTGCACCTGTGCATCGATTAACCTTGATTATAGAGGTGATACTACGGTAGATGTGAAACCAAGAAAAACTTGCAGACTTACCTTACAAATGAGCTCTTCTCCGCTATGTATGTAGGCAGCTCTGAAAATGTGGTCCCCCTCGAGCGGCTCCAGCAATAAGTATTTTCCAATGGAAGAAATGCAGTAAGAAGTACTGGGTGTCTCTGGAGGAGTTGGGGATCCTAAATTTGGGCTGAAACTTTGCACCGATTCCGTAGTCCTCAGAGAAGACAAATCGTCAAAGTCGTGAGATTTATGCCTCGTTCTCCCATAACGCGTTATATTTATGGGGTTTGACCTCCGTATGTTCATGGGTATTCAATATTTTACTCCACAAAGAAATTGGCCTTCGAGTAAAAGCCGGGCTCCAGTTAACCTTAAAATGTCAATAACGGGGAAAAAATCGCTAGGAAGATTCACACACTGCTCATAGTTGTTCAATCATCAAACCTTGTAAAACTTTCTTTTCGTTTAACACTCCCTGCAAAACCCCAAAAAGGTAGCCTAAGTTAAAAACAAAACAATGTTCTTGTTCAAAACAGTGACTTGAACACTAAAAATGAACAAAACTGTTTTAGAGACCGTATCGGAAACTATTAACCCTAAAGTCTATTTTCACTAACCAAATGGGTTTTTATAAAATGCAGCTCGCAAAACTGTGTACCTGTACTTCGCTAGCTAGTTCTGTGAAACAAAGCAATAGCGGGCTATTTTAGGGATACAGTAAAGTCTCCCAACAACACATATTTCAAAGGACAAGAAGAAAAAAGGATACTAATTAGTTATCAAAACTAGCGAGGTAGCTTCCTAGCTGAACCGGTGCCAGCCTTCATTGATTCAGATCACGCCGAATAATAGACAGAAGCCGCAAGTTACAGATGAGCCGCAAAACGCGCACGGAGGATGAGCACAGGTCCGAACCGGGCGCCGGTTTTGCGGCTTCCCGTGCAAAAGCAAATAAGGCGAAAACTACACGTCCGTTTCCATCAGATGTCCTGCATTGTGTGCTCGGGTCGCTCTCAGGCGCCTCCCACAATTTATATCCATGTATCTCGCTGGCAGACTCGGCAAGCAATCGTGGAGGTCAGCAGCTATATTAAGTCACGTTTCGTTTCTTGAGGGGAAAAAAAGCTGAATGTATATTGCGTGTAAGAAGTCCTCCAATCCAGGTTATTTTTGTCCAAAGTTTCGGAGCTGCGATTAGGTGCAAAGGGATGGCCGTTATCTCCCCGGGGCCTGTCCCCCCCTTTTCAACAAGGCATCGTCCCCCAGCGGTGTCACTGCCAAACCGAGACCGAGAGCCAAAAGCAGCGCCCCATTCACGGATCAGCCAGACACGCACACGCACGCCGCGCACTCCGGTGCCGAGCAACTATAGCGAGCGCGCCCCCGCGTAGCGCTGCGAGCGTGCATCGGGCCCGCCCCTTGTACGTCAGCGGAGCTGAGCGGCGGCAGAGCATGAGGAAAACCTCACTAAAGTACAGCTCAATGAAAACTAACCGGGGGGATATATGACTTACCCGCGCAAACTTATTTTTTTCCGCCGATTGAAGGCGTCTAATGTACGATAGAGTGTAGCGGACTACATTTTACAGCCATTCCCTGGGATATGTGTCTGCTTGGGGATAGGAGTTGCTCCCAGGGAATTGTAGTTTAATACGGTTGGGTTGTTTGTGCCGGAGACTGTCCTTAGGAAGCATATTTAAGTTGTAAGGATGTAAGGGATGTACCGGTGATTTTTCAAAAACCGAGGAAATACTTAGGTTTGTATAAAAATGTAGACTAAAGAAAAATTCTTAGAAAATCACCAGTCACATGCTAATGTTGTGCTTTGACATAAGCCACATGAAAATAGGCAAGTTAAATAATCGTAACGTTTTGTCTTATTATTAAACGGGTAAGCCTGTGTTAACTGCAAATTTGATCATTTCATCATTTTATCTAGTATAGGGGAGTGTGGAGCCTATTTCAGGGAGTACAGGGCACAAGGTAGGGATACACCCTGGATGCTATACCAAGTAATCATAGGACAGTTACAGACACTACATGCATTTAAGAGATACCAACTTCAGTGCATCTCCCTGAATTGTGGGAGGCATCAGTAGGACATGGAGAGACCATGCACACTGTGCACACCACAGCACAGGCATGATTATGACCCTTGATCCTGAAGGTCAGAGGTCACTGTGCCATTCTTAATACAATTGTTTGTTAATATGGGTACTCTAGTATCCTGCTGCTTTTCCCGATAAAAATGGCAGTATTATTTACACAAAGTGTATTAATTAAGAACCTACAGGCAGGTAAATTCTAGAATGGATCAATTTTAGGAAGAACTCTCAGTTTTCTACATGAGGAATTAGGCAGGATATTAGACGTACAGCCAAAGAAACACGGTGTGATCATACACTTTAGCATCCTTCTTGTCATTCCTGGCTTAAGAGTAATTTCTCAGCTTGTCTCTGATCTTTCAGCCACAGCCAAAAGGGAGACTTGCATAGACCTGCACCTCATTTCCCAGAACGAATGTGACACCAGGTGCATTTTTGACAAGGCTGTATGTTTATATAAATAAGTGATTTATACAGATTTCAACCCTTTGGCCTTAAATTATATGTATTTGCAGCTGTCACTCAGATTTACTTCGCCAATCTTCACACCTAATCCCCTCTCTATACATTTCAAAAGAAAATCCTTTAATTCTTGTATTAATCAGTAAACTTTTTTTTACAAATGCATTATTTAGCTGTTGTTATGAAATTGCTGTTTATATTTTTCCATAAATAAATATAGCCTGGCAAGTGTTTTTTCATTTATCTCACACAATAAATACTGTCGATGATTATTGAGTTGTGTTTTCAGAAGACGCTGATGCAGTAAAACAGCATCCACTTAAGAATGTTATGTGGTTAGTGATTCTTAGTGTTTCTTTGTCACGTAAAGTACGTACTTATAATCCATTAGCCATGACACTCATCTTTCCATGCTCTTCTTTCCCTGAAAGGCTGTACGTGTTGGGAGAATAATAGGATCAAAGTATCTCTTCTAAAACAAACGAGTGGTTAATATGTAGTCTTCTGCAGAACCTTTTTGTGTTATTGAAGTTGGCTTGTCTGTTTAGGGGTGTCTACAAGCACATTTTCTATTTTCATTATTGACATAAGCCACATGTATGTGACATTAACAACATGCTTTGAAAACAGGTTCTTAACATAGGTGGGACCCAGGATATTCCTGATCTAGATAATGTCTGGTGATATGTGCTGTAGATTGATTATCTTTGCTTGAAATGACCTGCTATGTTTCATATGAATTGGCTTGATTGTGTAACAAAAAGCCCCTAAAATACAGCAGCTGTAGTTCCTTCTCGTTTCATTCAGCCTTGACCGTCATATAATGGTTGGTTAAAAAGACAAATACATTGTTCTGGGGACTCTATTTTGAGGAAGTTGCAAACAACACATTGACACCCCCCCCCCCCAAAGCAATAAAACTGAACCCTACAAGCAATTAAAAGTGCATTTGAAAGGAGGCCCTTTGGAAAGTAGCTTCCGTGTGCTTTTGTGATGCTTCTCGGCCGGTCACATTCAAAAGGACGTGCGGATTAGGACAGTGACACAGAACAGCCCGCAAGCTGTTCTTCAGCAAAGTGGGCTTTGTTTATATTTTTCCTCATCGAGTTTCCTGGCAAAGGCCGTGCTGGAACTAAATGTCCAGCCTGTTGTCACAGCAAGCATCCCTCAAAACACAAAAGACGCCGTGCCAGTTAAAAATGTATCACATTTTTGTGTCTTTTGTGTCTTAACAGGAGTGGGATCTTAACATTGAATGCTGCCAGTTCAGGCTGTTCCACTACCCATGAACCAACTGCAGAGCCAGTCAGCCCCGGTCAACCTGGTTATATGCACAGTTTCTGATTCTATAAAGATATTACCGATCCACCTTCTAACCACTGAGCTTGTACATGCATCATGGGATACAAAGCAGGATGGCATGTCTAACGCAGGGCAAGTCCAAAACCAGTTGGCAATTTAGAGAGACCTAAGTGTCTTTGGACTGGAGTACCCAGTGTTGGTACCACAGGGAGAACTGGGGAAGCGTAGCCCCCCCCCCCCTAAAAAGAAATAAAAAATTATTACCCAAAGATGCTAAAAAGGTTAGTCTGTTTGCCAGAGGAATGGCTGCCCATCCAACTGTCACCCTGCCTCCCCCCACCCCACCGACAACTTTTACTGTTGCCCCCCCCTCCTAGATCAACATTTCTGACACCCCCCCCCCGAAAGCTTGGGCCCAGTTGTCAGCTTTATTCTGCCGCCAACACCAGGGGTATTTCTCAATACCAAGAACACGAAGAACGTACTTGCAAACTTGCCTCCCATGAATAAACTTGGGACGTTATGAATCATGGGATTGTTCTCGAACAAGGATGCAACCGATGCCTCCTTGATATCTGGGGTGGGGCAAGAACGACATCCGGGGATTTTTTACCATCCTCTTGTTCTTTAGTATTAGAACTGTACTTTGGGAATAGAAGATGATGTCAAACAGGTTTGCAAGAACACGACAGTCAAGTATACATATTGATAAACGCCCCCGAAGGAAATCTGCACGAGAACATGCAAGCACACAGAACAGGGGTGAAATTCAGACTCCCAAACCTGGAGGTGCAGGGGCACTAGTGCTGTCCAGTCATTGTAAGGTCACATTTGTAAATACAAATGCACTTTCACTACATTTACATGACTTTAGCCAACATGTAAATACAGTGTGCATGAAAAGAATTTTTACTGTTTAATATATTGCTACATGTGTCTGGAGTATCAATGACTACCTTCTGAAGAATTTATTTGGATCGCGTGAAGTGTGTGTACACTTCTGCATGTTATTCAGACATTGCATTTCCCGTGAAACACATTACATACCTGTGAGCTTGTCTTACCCACGTTTTCCCTAAAACACATTAGGGGCCATTATTGCATGACTCATTGGGAAGTTCCCCGACGTCACCCCTGACTAAAAATAATGGTATGAGTGATGTATTCCATCAACTTATTGAAAGTAAGGGTAAAAATACACAGACACGCCTTGCTGTTTGCCGGGTCGAGTTCAGCAGTTAGTTAACGCCCTTAACAACACCTGTATATCGCCGTACATGGTTTTTAGTTTTAAAATTCTTAAAAAGCTTATAAACAAAATCAATACAAATGCAAAATGTCACTTTGTAATGTCATACAGCAAGTAACCTTTGTTTTCCATTAATTCGGTTTTACCTGTGCTGTCAATCAAGGTAGCAAGACTTGTTTAATCATAACCTGTCAGCCTTGATAACATATAAATTCAACGTCTTTTATTTATATATAGAAGAACAATACGAAAGAGGGGGAAACAAGAATACATTTATATTTTAAATGCTTATTTTGAAAGCAATCAAAAATATGGAAAATCATCGATAATGTATTACAATGCAAATTTCTCTACTGTTCAAATATGTTTTAACTAAATATCACAGAATCATGTGCACGGTCTGATAAGGCCAATTATTATGTTTTTATTTATAAATCCAAACATAAAATAAAATATTTCCCTGCAGATTTACTGAAAAAAGACAGCAGACTTTGCATTTTCGGTCTCAGTATATGTCTTGATTTAAATTGACATTACTGATGCATAAACTTTGATCCTCAGCAGCAGAAGGAGTCTGAAGAGGGACACATAGATGGATTTCTGACACATTAATTCCCTTTAGTTACACGTTACTTGCCAAGTATCTGAATTGATGCTATTCAACAGTGAGTCATTTAAGGGAAACAGCTGGGAAAAGTATTTCCTTTAAAGTCAGCGGAAAATCGGATTGCATGCATTTATGTTCTGGTGTCTTTCCCATAGAACCTGACACGGCGTGACACATATTTAAAAAACGATAATGTATTTCAAATAGTCATTAATCAGTGAAGTGTTGGTATTGAATTTACTGAGTCACCATTATCCTGTGTAAAAATGACCTCAAATCCCTATATTGCAGTACACATGACATGCTTTGTGAATTCAAAACTGATCCTCTGGAAATAAATGCAAGTTTTAGGTTTATATTTTAATTTTATATATGATTATTAAATATGAAAGGATATCAATTATAACTATGAGTCAGGTGTCATAATACAGAAAACTAATAGTGTCCTTCTTGGATTTTAATTAGCAAAATCTAACATTAGAATCCGTTTTTTATCATGTTATTTGGATTTTGCTTCACCATGATGCACATGACCTACCTCCCCTGTAGAAGTTGGTTCAGTTTCACACCATGAAGAGCTCATCACAGAGCTGCCATCTCTGGTCAGCTGCCTGGCGTGATATTCGA